CATGCATGCCATAGGTTTGCCACCACTGGCCTAGAATGACAACTGGGAAACACATCTGACCCTGCATGCCTGGAGCTTATAAATTACAGAACACAAGGTGTGATTGAAAACTATGGTGAATGTTTAAATTAAAATGAAACGTATTATCGTACAAGACACATTGCCATCAATGCCCCTCAGAATACTCGCACTTGCCTCAAATAAACTTATCCTTTCTTTCTTACTTTTTGAAGCACTTCTCCAAGTCCTCATTTGTGAGTGTCTGTAGTTACACTGTTGTGGCTGCCTCAGTGTTAAATTGACTCAAAACATTTGCCTTTCATGGTCCTTTTGACTTTGGTGCCAGACTTGAGATGTATGGTGGAGGAAGACACATGACAAGATAATGTTTTCACGAGCTGCCTTTCTATCAAATGGTACTTGGTAGCAGCATTCACCACATTTTTGATCATACCTCATAACAGCGCTGTAAACTTTCATCATATATATCGATCACACCTTGTATATATGGACTAGAAGAGAAGCAATTTCAGAATAGGCTGATAGATGCCATAGTACGGAGCCATAGCACTCTGCTGGGGTCACTACTCAGGCTTGGAAAGGATGTTTCAGGCAAAGGGCACCTGGAGGAGCCAAAACAAACAAACAAAAAAGCAATACAACTACAGTACTTTGGGGTTTAAAAGATCCCTGGATGAGCATGAAAACAGACTTCATGATGCCGGCTCCGACAGGTTCCGCAGGAGCTCAGTAAGGCACGTCTTGTAAGCAGCGATAGGCTGATCTCCTCCTGTGCCTCAAGCACCCTGGCTCCTGCCCCACTGCACTTTCCCCATCACTGCTTGTCCTTTCCTTTTGGAAATGTAGCACTGTAAAGAGGTGGAAAGAAGCCTTTGCTTTCAAAGCAGCAGCATTATTAAATGAAAAGGAAAAGTCTCCCATAATCTATGGCAAAATCCTGTAGATTGGTCTATGAATCAGTGTAGCTTACGCTAAAGCAACTCATTTCCTGACAGCAGCTCTATGGCTTTAGGCTTCCAGAGAGGCATAAAGCTAGTATGATATTTACTCTTAGTTAAAATTAAATGGAAGTGAAGAAAAACCAAAGAAGAATTCTTCTGGGAAGATATATCATAAATGGAAAAAAAGCTACCAAGCAATAGAGACTCCATATGTATTTTTTTCATTAAAGGAAGTGTGGAGTATATCTCGATTCACAAACTCAATTCTCTCCACAATTCTGGTCGCAAACTGAACTGGACAAGAACAGAATCAAATTTCCCCATAAAGTTAACATTGAATGTAACCATTGAATTTGTTAAAATGGTAAGTACCCCTGGGTTACTGGGTTTTATGTGATTTTTATACTCTTTTTCGCTGTGAAATACACATTTGGGAAAGCCCGTGATACAGGAAGTACAACTTAATACATTTTTATAGAGTGAACCTTCACATAACTACAAGAAGAGGTGAGAGCACAGCGTAGAAGCCCTGCACCCACTTCTTCCCTCAGGAATTCGCCACTGTCCTGACTTTCATGATAACCTTTGTTTTGCTTTGTTTTATCTTTCATTATACTTTTATCACCCAAGTGTTTATTGCTGAGTCCTAATTTTTTTGCTGCTTTTTAAACTTTATATGGGAGCTTGTGATTTCCTGGTCCTCACTGCTGTTTCTTACCGTGACACTTCTAAGTTTCAGCCGTGGTGCTGAGGCTTTTGTGACCCCTTTTATTTTTAATACTCTTTAGTAATTCCAAGGTTATACTTATGACAGTTTACTTATCTACTGTACTGTGGACGGATATATTGGCTTGTTTTCAGCTTGGGGCTCTTGTGAATACAGTTGTTCTTCTTCTGACTCTCACATGAGCATATTTCTGTTGGAGACATTTACCCAGGGGTAGAAATCTGGGTCACCAGGTATGCATGTCTCGAGTTTCAGTAGGTAAAGCCAAAGAGCCAAGAACAATGTGCAGGCCCTGTAGTGGTGTGTCCTATGATGGGGTTTAGTTTCTTATTTGAGTTTATCTAAATTTTATATATTTCTCCATAATAAATATCTGTTGGTTTCAATTAAGCAAAATGCTCTTCTAATACCTTTAAAAATTATCTTGTCTGTTGGAATATTCTTTTTAAACATTTTAAAGGAAATAAATCATTCTTATAGAGAAAGCACACAGAGCACTCATGTAAGGCTTACTGTGCTATCCCAGTGAAGACACTTCTGTGACCACAACCTTGGTCAAGATAGAACTTTCTAGCACATTGAAAGCCTTCTAATCACAGTCTTCCCCTCATCAAAAGAATGATCAAAAGAGGAGCTGGGGGTTTAGCTCAGTGGCACAGCGCCAGCCTGGCAAGCACAAAGTCGTAAGTTTGATTCCTGGTACTGGAAACAAACAAACAAACAAACAAAAGAATGATCAAAAGAATACTGATCTGTGACACAATCTTCTGTATGTTTTTGAGCTTCCTACAAACAGAACAAGCCAGCTAGCATTATCTTGTGTCCAACCTCTTTTGTATTTTCCAACACTGTGAGATTCATCCTATTAATGGATGTAGAGTAATTTGTTCTTTTGTTTCTTTTCTTGCCAGGAGAAGGAAATATTGACCTCAGGAAACTGATCTGCTCATCACTTTTTAGGCTCATGGAATGCATCGACCAACCAGGGTGTTATGGTTTGTGTCTGTGTGTCCCCCCAAAGCCTCATGTGGCCATGGGGCAGGCTTTTAGAGTTGATTGATTGTGGGCACGAGAGCTACACCCGCCCTGGGGTGGATAGTTTGCATATGTAAGGGAGAGGAAAAGAGTGCTTGAGGCCATTCCTCCCCCATTCCACCCTGGTGTGTGGTTGTGGCTTAGCTGTGTTCTGCTGCCCCGAGCCATAGCTCTCTGCCATGTGCCACTCTGCCTTATAATCTGCCAAGTATGGACTGAAACTTCCACGAACTGTAAGTGAAATAAACCTTTCCTTCCTTAATTTTGGGTATCAGGTATTTTGTCCCAGCAGCGAGAAAAAAGTAACCAAGACACGGGGCCACACATGGAGTAAAACACGATGTGGCCATTTGTATCTGTATTGCTTCCTCTATCTGGATGCTGTGAGCTGGGGTTGGAGAGGTAGTAATGAGGTGAGCATGTGTATGATGTCCCCAATTATCCTTTGACCTGGGTGACGGAGTCTCCCCTTGAAGTTGCTCCCTGGTGATAATGAGTACTTTCTTTCCTTTCTCATCTATCAGCATCACATCCCAAATGGTACCCTTTCATGTGAAGATTTCACTGGGAGAATTATGGGAGTGCAAGGATACAACTGGTATGTGGCTGCAGGAAGCATCCTTGGCCTTCAAGCAGGGATAGTTTCAAAGCTGTGCTTTCACATGATAGAACAGAGCACTGTGAGCAAAAATCATAGCCTCAACATGTTGTAGGAGAAAAATCCTAAAGCTGTCCTCCAAAAAGAAAAATAAAACCAACAGTGTAAGCTTTTTGCTCTTTCAAATAACCAGTGTTCAACACTTCCTCATAAAACAATTGTTTATGTCTAGCTTTTGTTTTCATTTCAAACAGAGTGTCAACTGAACTTGAACTCTTAAAATAGAATCTTGATATCAATCTACATTTTTAAAGCAGCCAAACAGGCTCTCAGATGGTAAATCTCGGAAAGGCTAGATGTGAATTCACAGCAAATGTAGTTTTTTTCTTTTTTCTTTTTTTCAAAGTCTTGAGCTGTAATTATTAAAATTTCAATTGTCCCTGGTCATATTAGCCAGATAATCAAATTTGGATTGCAAGAATGAAGTAACCTGGAGTGTGCCTTCATTACTACTCCATGAAAATAATTCACTTAAAAGCATTCTCATTCTCTTTCACCTCCAAATCTGGAACTAGACCATGGCAGGAGCCAGAAATTTTACCATGATTATTCAAAATGATCAAATTGGTTCTCAAAACAAAGGCTGTCATACAGAAATACAATAGGTACAGAAATATTTCTACCACCACAAAAAAATCTAAAAACATAGGAGAAAAATGACTGACTTTGTGTCCCAAAACAACAAATCAGAATGCTAAATGGAATTGCAAATTTGGGGGGACAGCTATTGAGGAGCTTACTGATTAATTTTTAGAAAAGAGGAAAGAAGAACATTTTCTAAATAGCCGACTGAGAACAGTTTTTATTAGTGAACTATGTAGGTATCCACTGCAGAAATGATCTATGAGCATATAAGTCAATTTGAACTGGAATGTATTTAATCTTGTAGAAGCGCCAACTACGCAAGTTAAGATTTCATCAAGCAGAGCAAGGATAAAGAGTTTTTGTTATCCTTTCTTTTACCAACACAATAAAAATCCCCTTTCCTCCCACTAACTCCTGATTCCAAAAGGAGCTAGGCGAAGTTCTTGGACCAGGAAGAACCTGGTGGGAAGGAATTGTGTCAGGCTCCTGGTTCTTTTCTGCCAGTGTCTTTTAATTCTTATCTACCAATCTTTTCTGCTATTTCAGGAAAAGAGGATCCCAGCTGTGCTAAATAGTGTAGTAGCTATGTAATCCAGACACAGTCCACAGGGGGTTAGGACAGAAATTAACAAATACATTTTAGCTTCAAACCTTACCTGTGAAGAATACCAACCAGTTTCCCCAAACACCTATAGACTAAAGACTCCAAAATCTTTCGTTGTAAGAATCCAAGTGTGAAGGCCACCATGACCAAAGTCTTATAGGATTGGATTTTGTGGATCTCAGCACTCTCTTTCTCTAAGTGCTGGGGATGGTGGGGAGGGGAGACGTGTCTCAGTTCTAGCATGAATTTGCCACTAATTATATGATCTATGCCAATTTACTGCAACTCTTTGGCTCTGATTCTTGTCTATAAAATGAAAAAAAAATGAACTAGATTTTCCAAGGATGCTCCTGGTTCTAATAATGTGGTGTTGTATAAGTTGTATTTCTTAGGCTATGATTAACTAATAGGCCTCCCTCACCTTGTTTTTCTGTATCTAGTTGGATTCGCCAGCATGTTCTTCTTTTTGCTGATGCACTGAGAGACAGTGATGGAACTGGGAGCCTCATTACTCCAGTGCCCAGGGTCCAGTGTCATCTCAGATGAGCAAAGCATTCACCAATCTAGGTTCATTTTTGTTCCTTTTGTTGGTACTGGAACTCCCGTGGTATTGTACGGGAACTTCATTGGGACAAAACTAAAAATATGAGAAAGGTGAAATGAAGGCGTGTGGTCTGCCACAAGGCGTTTGTGACATTTCCTGGAAGTCTTCAGATCTATGAACAAAAAAGTGGACGGTTAGAGTTATCATACAGATAATGTCAATATTTAATAATTGTAACCAGAGTTTGGGAGATGATTTGAAATAGTATACTTCAAAACACGAACAGTGAGATCTGACATCTCACGGAAATTTTCTGCACCAAGAGGGGCAGCAGATGCCACAAGGAGGAGCCGCAGACTGGGAGCAAATCCACTCCATCCTACTATGAACCCTTCCTGTTCGCCAGCGAGCACGGTTCCCTACATCTCAGTACAGCAGCACTGTTCTGCAGTGCCATGACTAGCTATTTCGGGAGCCTAACACAGCAGGACAAATGTGCCCAAGTCCACACAGTATGACAGAAGAATTAAAAATGTATTTACCATCTGTTGGTAGTTTCCTTGCAGGGATCTTTTCTTTTCCTTTCCTGCAGCCGCAAATAGGGTCTTCTCACTTCCTTCCAACTTCAGAGAGCTGGTCTCTCTTCACATCTCTGAAATGTAGGGCTTGCTTTTTTTTTTTTTTTCTTCAAATTTCTCAGACTGCTGAACTCTGGAACTCTTTCAGCTTCTAGGATCATTTCCCTTACATATAAAGTGTAAGGAAACTGTGAAAAACTTGTAGTGTCTTCCACTTTTCATGTGGCCAGGTGACTTTCAGACCCTTCTCTTGGATTCTGATCCCAGAGGACTCTGGGAAGTTTGGGGGTAGAACAAGAAGAAAGAAGAAAGAATTGGAGCAAAGGCTAAAGAAGAGAGAATTATGTCCCTAAATTAGACTTGGGAGTTCACAGTGGCCCTTTACAATCTACTTAGTCCTTATCACAGTGGGATGCCCAAGATGAGAGGCAAAATTTCTACTAGGAAAGAGTCCCAGGGATGGAAGTGTGATGTGTGTGATGGAAGCTTCAAGTGTGAGTCATTTCCGCCCATGTAGTAGCTGGGTAAAAAGTGTAACCTGGAACATAGTTTTGTTAGCTGAGAAAACACTTAGGCTGATGTGGAGAAATGATTATTCTTCAGTGAGAGCCCCTGGGCTTTAATTTCTAGGATATATGCATTGTGCACCAAAAACTAAAACCTAAAATATAAAGATGATGTTAGACAGGATTCCCATAGCCAAAATACTGTAGTGCAGCATTGACGCTCATGTCCTTTCCTTCTTTCTTCCCTTCCTCCTCCCTCCTTCCCAGCCTCCTTCCACCCTTTGCTTCCTTCTTTCTTCCCTTCTCTTCCTTCCTCCCTTCCTTCCTTGCTTGCCTCCTCCCTTTCTTGCTTCCTCTAAAGTTCTAGGGATTGAACCTCAGGCATTCACAGTGAGCTATATCACCTGCTCTTTTTTTTTTTTTAAATTTTTAAAGACAGGGTCCTCTAAGTCACAAAATCGCCCAGGTTGGGTTGGAACTTACAATCTCCTACCTCAGCCTCCCAGACAGCTGGAATTACAGGTGTTTGCCACCACACCTGGCTCACTGTCCTATTTTATTCAAGTAATGACTTGTTACAAAGGTGAATAACTTTATCTTAAAATCATTGCTGGGTTATCTTGATCCTTGAGCAGGTCCTTTCAACATCAAGCCTCAGCTTAGTCACTTGAGATTATGAAAATCATGATCTGTACATCACCCTATTGTGGGGATTAAATGACAGAGCATCCCCAAAGTTCCTACCATAATGCCTGGAACAGTATAAAATTCTGATAAATAGTACCTGTTAAGAATTGTAATTCTTAGAAGCTGACAATGTACTACTCACTATTCTCAAAACCTACTATCAGGTTCACATATTCTCCTGGATTCTGGTTTTAAATTTTGTTTTTTAAAAGAAGTTTATGCATGTGATGGGTGTGAAACCTCGCTCATTCTAACTTAACTTTCATAATCATATGTCATACAATTAAACCAAAGCACAAGTAAATAGTATTTGTATCACATCATGGACTAGTTGATTTGTTTTGGATTAGTTTCTATAAGATAACAATTGTAGTGAGGCTGACAATGCCTATGCATAGTAGTTCCTGGGAAATACTACTCATTAATTCTAATTCATTTAACAGTCAATGCATATTTAATGGGTGTCTATCAGGTACCAAGTACTATTCTAGATGAATGACATGGACGAAAATCTCTGCCCTTAAATAAAAACAAAAAAGGTAAATGACATAGAATATTGAAATCTAATATGTTTGTAGCATAACTGAACAGCGAGATAGGTCAGCAAAGTCAGCAGGTCCGATTTTAACTAAGGTGACCACAGCAAGCCTCGCTGGCAGATTGTTTAGAAAAAAGAAGAAGAAATGTGGGCTGGGAGCAAGGACGGTGATAGAATGAATAGATGGGAGGGAAAGGCTGACGTCCTGATGGTGTAAGGCCTTGTAGACCACGGAAGGGCTTGGCCATGACTCCAGGTAGAATTAAGGAGTTGTGAGAAGGTTGAGAGCAGAATTATAAAATCACTTGATGTGTGTGACAGTCTGTGAATGGGGGATGGTGACAGTAGCAGGACAATTTAAAAAGTTACAACAATTATCCACCGGGGCTTTCACTGTAGTGGTGGCAAGAAATGGTCAGATCTAGGTAAATGTTGAAGATCAAGCCAGCTGGATTTGTTGGGTGGACTAGATGTGAATTACGAACACAAGTTGTTTACAGAGATGACTATCTAAAAGCTGTGTTGAACAGCGCATGGCCACCCCAGTAGAAGAGTTACCCTGGGATTCTGGGCTTGAGTGTTAGGCCGCCTTCTGCCTGCTGAGGAAAACCTCTTGAAACAAGTGAGCTGACAGCTGTTCTTTGAAAAATGAGAATCAGAAAGACCGAGGTTTCATAAGCACAAATATGGAAACCCCACCCTTGGCCAGATCTGGAGAAATCAAAGAGCTGGATGTGGTATAAACTCTCTTACCCTGATTGCAGGAGGAGGTCTGCTCAAACGAAAAGTTAAAAAATAAAAGCAAGCAGCTAGGTTTTCTTGGTTGCATTTCCTCGATGCCAAACAATTAGTTTTTTTCAGTCCTTTGGTGACTTTATACATGGTGCGATACCCTTTCTGCAGACAAGAGTTGTTGTACACTCTGGAGCCCAGCAGAGGGAGCTGAGCAGGCCTGCAGGAGACCTCCTTGCTGAGGCCTGGCCTGCGGCCCAGGGCTCTGTACACTTGGGCTCCCACAGGCCTCTTTCAGTAGCCTCTGTGTCTGAGTCCTGAGCCAGACACTGTTTCTGGAATGATAGGGAGGTGAGTCTAGAAGTCTGTAGATAAGTCACCTATTCCCTTGGGCCTTTTGTTTATTCATATTGTTGTGGGTGCAAGGCCAAATACATACTTGGAACAGATTACCTGAGTATCGAAAGAGGAAAGAGATAGGGTTGTACATGGAAACAAACGGCAGAAAGAACAATGCCAAATCCATAACCAAGGGTCTCATAAGAAGGGCGTATTCATTTGCTAGTGCTACGGTAACAAAATACCACAGATGGGGCTGTTTAAACAGGAGAAATGCATTCTCTCCCAGTGCTGAGCGTCCGAAGACTGAAACCAGTATTGTTGGGGTCCAGCTCTCTCTCCAAGGACTCTAAGGAAAAAGTCTTCCTTGCATCTTCCTGCTTCTGGCATTTGCTGGTGATCTGGCATTCTTGGTTTAGGGCAGCACTGACTCCAATCTCTACCTTCCCGTGGCCATCTGTGTGGTGCTTCTCACGAGGACAATAGTCATACTGGATTCAGAGTCCAGCCTAATCCAGGAAGACTGTGTCTTAACTAATTACAGCTGAAAAACACCTACTCCCTGATGAGGTCACACCCACAGACCCTGAAGTTAGGACCTCAATATACCTTTTGGAGGACTCAGTTCAGCTCGCCACAGATGGCTGTAGGACATGAAAACTGATCAGAGGGAAAATCGCATCTCTGGAGCAGCAAAGGAAAAGTCTTGCATGCAGAAACTGTACACCAAGGTCTGATGGGTTTGGGAGTAACAGGAAGTATTCAGATAAAAGAGGCGCTCACTTAGGGTACTCTCTCCATCTGTGCTTATGGCCCTGAGGGTTTTTTTTTTTTTTTTTTGCTAGAGGTTTAAAAAAATATTGTATAAATAAAAAGAATAAGAAAATAGCACTTCTCTGACTCACACATTGGGCAGAGCAGCAGACTCTTGTGATCATCAAGAAAGACTTCACAGAAGTGTTGATGCTTGAGCTGATCTCAAAGCAGGAAGATAAAATCTCCTTGTGAAGAAGGGGTGAGGTGGGGCAGGGGAGAGAGGAAAGACTTGGCTTTCCTTCTACAGAGGCAGCATATGCAAAGGTACAGGTTTCTATCAGTGGGACACCTTGAGCTCTTTAAGGAGGTGTCAGTCTTGAGAGGCAGAGCCCATGTTGTGTGGATGTTGTATTAAAAAACGAAGGGGTGAAATGTTTCTGGTTTTAATAAATGCACAAATAAGGACACGATAACACTAGGAGCATATATCAGAAGGAGTTAATTATTGGACACATTTGCCAAAGCACAAATATGGAAACCCCACCCTCAGCCAGATCTGGAGAAATCAAAGAGCTGGATGTGGTATAAATTCCTCTACCCTGATTGCATGCGATCTGCCAACAGTCTTCCTCTGACATATTCTTTTCTGCACAAAGGGCCGAAGTGGGTTCTTAAAAACCTGATCATGAACTGAGATATGCAATTCTGAATCATCACCATGATCTAGGAAAATTAACTCCTCACTGATCTTCCCAGAAAAGCACCCGAGCTTGTTGCCTCAGCCCACACCAGGGTCTGGCCAGGTTTCTGTCACAAAGCAACTCCCCTTTTTTGGCAGAAGAATGTACAGGATGCCAGCAAAGTTCACACTGGGTCATCTCCGTCTCTTTAAAGGCATGATGATTCATTGCTGGGATGGGGGAGAGAGGGGTAGTGAGGGGAGCGGAAGTGCCGAGCAGGAGGGGGCGGAGCCACGCAATTATGAAATTGACTGCAGGAAGAGCTCGCGCCCAGGGAGTGATGGGGTCACACGTTCTTACTCTTGGTATTTAAGCTTCAGCTGGGGTGGGGGTGGGGATGGGAAACAGATCCTGTGATTTGACTGCTTCTCAGAGTAGACACATCCAATAGCTCACATATGTATTACAATTACAATGTACTAATTTCTCTTGCTATCTGACAAAGAAGAAAAGCCCTTCCCTGACAGTACAGTTAGCAGGATAAAAATTTAGCTGGAGTGGCATGAGTGAATAATTTGTCTTCTTCTACTTGATTCACTGGCGTTCTGGCTGACAGGGTCTTCCATTCCGCACATTCATTTTGTACTTAAAGAGGAATTGTTTGTAATTTACAGTTTAAGTCAGAGTGCTGTTATTCTGCTCTGGCAGGAGGCATCTGTGGCGGTAGCTCTTTTTCGTGTCTGTGCTGTAGACTCAAAGCAAAACCAGGGTCTTCAGTCATCGGGTTTGAGAGCTTTCCTAGTGTCCTTGCAGTTAAACTTTGTAGAGGCCGCTAGGAAGCAGTTCTGCAAATAGCAAACTGCCTGACCCACCATCTGCCCTGAAATCCTGACATGGTCAGTTTCCTTGGTAAACTCTAGTTATTTATGTCAGAAAGCAAAGTTTGCCAGTGCGTTTTTCTCCAATTCTTCCTCTTTGGGGCAAACTTTGTAAATTCCTCATAAAATGATGTTCTTAAACTCTGACCCCTACTTG